TACAACAGTGAGCGCAAGCTACATTAAAGTGATTATTACGTTTTGAATATGGATATTTTTCTTACAAAAACTCATGGATTCGCTACAAGGGGCCTTTATTCATCCCCCGGGGCCGTCTGCGGCACGTTTTATTATGAATGCGCGAGCTTTATTTGACGACTTGTGGACTGTTCAACTGCAACACCCGCTGAGTGCCATTAAACAGCTTGAAAGATCAAAGACAATTTTTAATATAACTCCGACTGGATTCGTCTGAAAGAAGAAAGTCATATACACCTAGGATGCTTCGAGGGTAAGTAAAACACAAGCTAATTTTTATTTTTGGGTGAACTAACCCTTTAATAGCTTGTATACCACCACCATGTGGGATGTTAGTATACAGCGATTCCACATCTAGTGTCGCAAGTAATACATTATTGACTGTAGTGTTTTAATCATATCCATAGAGTCCTGCACAAAAGAAGGAAGACTTTGAACATAAGGTTTAAGAAATGAGTCAATAAACACCAATTGAATAATCAACTTTTAAAAATTAAAATTCATTTCTCTAAATAGCACCTCTGAAAAAAGTTTGACCTTTCACCAAATAAGGCAATCAAGACAATTTTTTTTTCCCGATAGAAAATCCTTGGACTAACCTCAAAACTGGCCATAACTGGACACCTGGACAGAGTATACAATTCCAAAGTAAATGTATGCACCACCTGCAACTTTCTTTATAATGTCATTTCTGTTTGTATGGAGGAGTGTCTTGGTATCTTTAGGCAGGGATGGGTGGTGATACCTTAATACTGACAACAAGGCAGTCAATGCAACAAAGTGATACCATACTCCACAGCCCAGTTCATCAAGCTAGTAGTCAGAGCTGGCTGTTCAATTTCTTCATCACTCTCAACCCCATTTCCACAGTCACCCACTGTCCAAGAACAAGCCTCTGCTGTGCATTCAGTTTCCTGAGTTCACCAGGTCCAGCTCTGTCACCTCACTCAGCAACTCCATCACTAATATCAGCAACATGATCACCACACTCAGCAATTTGTTCAAGGCACTCAGGAAGTTGATGCACTTTCAGCAGGATCAGCTTCTTTATCTGTCAAAACATTTATGTAGAGTGATTCTAGATGTGCCTTGACTGTAGCTGCCGCCTTTCGTTGCAGACTTGAGGTCTTAAATATACTCAGAGTAACACTCAAGTCATTATGCCTAGGAGGTTGAAAAGACTTTAAAAATCCAAAGATGCCAGACTAGCGCCACAACATTTTCAAAACGTAAAAAATAAAAATGGCCACATTCGCAATGTAAACAGCTTCATTGAGCTTCAGATGCAATTTGTTGATATGAAGCTATTTGCACAAGCTATGGGTGATACCCCTTTTATTTTCTATCCAACACCAGTACTTTTAAAGCAAGTATCACCAATACTGATACAGATCGATACATACCATACTAGATATATAGTATATATCTATATACCATATACCATACTAGATAACTTGTATATATAAAATAAATAAAATTGCTGTATAAAAGGCATCTTAGAATCAATATTTTTATGTGAGGACCCTAATCCTAATAATAGTATTGTAACGGGGCTGACAAGACGTGAGACGTGCAGATCCATATGCAAGCTTTATTAAAGCAGAGAGGAGGTCAGAAATACAGGCAGGGTCGAACGGTGGCAAACAGGTATATTTTACCTGCAAGACACAAGAATAGTCCTAGGGCTAGCATAGGTCAACGATTGGCGAACAGGATCACAAGGGCGAGACTAAAGGGATAACTCCAGGAAAACAGGCACAGATCAAAGACCGAGAAAACAGACAAGGCAAGACTAGGCTGGGCT